ATACAAATTAAATGGCTTACGTGTACAGATCGAAAGCAGCTTGCTATTCCGGCCAAATGAAAGAACAATACGGCATCACTGAAACTAAGTTTGTAAGTCTAATAAAAAATAATAGTGAGCAACACACATGTACTGTATGTATGTGTTGCTCACTATTATTTTTTATTAGACTTATAAACTTAGTTTCAGTGATGTCATATTGTTCTTTAATTTAGCCGGAATAGCAAGCTGCTTTCGATCATCTGTACACGTGCAATTTAATTTGTGTATTACACAAATCTTTCCACGAAACAGACAGTTTTAAGTGCAAAAGGTGCGAAAGTGCAGAATCACTCCAGCATCCCCTTAAGCCTTTGTCTTGAGGAAACGCACAACAACTGTCGTATGTCTTAAGAGTACAAGACAGCTATTCCGCTCAGGCCCTTACAATTTCTAATAGGGGGGTAGTAGGGCAGCAGTAGGCTTTCTATTTAAACAATTTAATTTTTAAACTAATTTTTAAATTGTGTAAAATTATATAGTCCTCGAAAGCATATTCAGGCCATTGAAGTTTATCCATGATCCCGACAACTCGCGGTTGAATCATATCGGCTCGCCTCTTATACTGATACGGGACGATTTTTACTTACGAGAAAGACTAACGCGCGGTCGCGGCAGTGAGTGGTACTAGTGCTATATATTCAGGTTAACGTTTATCAAATCCTATGAGAGGGAATCAGGCGCACCGGACCAGGCACGTGTCAGGAATTGCTTGTTAGGGCATTCCTTACTTCCTCCCTATCAGGCCCTGACCATACGTAAGGCATGCCTGACTTTCATTTCTATTCGAGAAGATGTACTCGCGATTGGTCCCTAACGCTTAATTCAGTTCCAGAAGTTCCAAGTGGAAACGACAACCCGGAAGATTAATCCCACGAGCGGGAACGACCGCGACGGGCGTGGTCAGTGTAATGAAGACACTCGTAGGGCCGAGCTCTTAGCGAGCGCATTCCGTCGTTGCGCCGTGAAAACGGCGCCAATTAGCGCGGAAACCCATCTCTAAGGACTCGGAGATTTCGTGCAGAGTCGAAAGGGGGTGCCTGCTGCCGTCGATGGGCGCCTGTCGGTGACGGAACGTCAGGCCGTGTAGTAATTGCAGCGAATTCCTCGAGTGCCCCGCTCGCTTGTCGCCGTGACTGAAATCCTGTTCGTAAGGTTTGTACCTGGCACGCGATACTCCGGCAATTGCTTTCCGTTAATTGCCGCTCGCAGCGATACGGAAGTCTCACGCGCGTTCACGCGTTAGCTAACTGTCAAACTCGCCGCGCGAGTAACTCTCTTCGTGCTGAAGGGTATTATTGCAACTTCAAGTTATGATTGCGTTGCCTCGCGATCTTAGCACCGAGCCTGAAGTGCGCAAGCTGGCAAATGATATCGGGCGCGACTCGAGTCTTTCCGCCTTTCCAAAAAAAAAAAAGAAGAAACGTGACAGGAGATTCCTCGTTAGCCGAAGCAAGCCTTATCCTTCATTACGAAGCTTAATTTCGTTAGGGAGATTATTAAATAAATAATTCCTCGAAATGCCGCGTTGTCCCACGACTACGACGATTTTCAAGGTAAGTTCCAGCGATAAGAGAAAATTCTCTCCCCGTGCATGAAGCACGAAAAACATAATAGAGTAACAAAACAAAAACATGCGCGTGTCCTCGTAAGAAGACGGGCAAAAATCTGGGCTACGTATACAGGGTGAGTCTTTCCATATCCGACAAAATTTTTGAGAAGGTAGAACGGATCGAGATGAACTGAAAAGTCCTGTACCATTTTGCAATTTTCGTAATAGTTAACGAGTAATTAATTATTAAAAATCGTT